AAAAAAAAAAAATAGATATCTCGAGAGTATCACCAGCGTGGCATCCTTCTTAGCGGTGTATCGGGTCATATCCAAAACACATCCGCCTTTTCCGCGATTGCATATTTTCGAACCTCAGAAATCTTGAGCAGGAAGTTGCACTTTAATATACCTGTGTTAAGTATTCTTTTCGCAGCTCACTTCAAGGTTGGCCTGGTGTTATTTTTTTTGCTTAATAGTTCATCATCCACCGCTCTCATTTGTGATGTCTTAAACTTATTTAAAAATCAACCGATATTTATGTTTCCCCTATAGAGAATACTGGTGTTGTCGTTTTATCAGAGTTTTGCGTTTATATGAACGTACATGCGAGAAAGCGTGGTACGGCCATCGCACGGAAATTTTGGGGCTAAAGGAACTTGTGCGTGAGTGTTTCGTTCACGGCCCTTTAGACAAAGTGGGTGGTGGACGTGTTTGCCTGAACGGCCACTTCAGAAGTCACAAGAGCAACGTGTATACATGTATGTGGGTGAGTGATACCACCTACGCACAAAGGTGGTTAAGTGGGTGGGTGGGTATGGCCAAATAAGAGTTTGTTAACCAATGAAAAGAGTGGGGGTGGAAGGGGGAGGGGCGGGGGGGAGGGAGTTGGACGGCGTTTGCATTGTTCTAGCTGTTATCAAGGATGCTAAATGTCAGCTTTCAATTCAGTTTGTTTGTCCCAACATAGTTTGTCCAAGTCAAATTTATACGCCAATTGATCCCAGGTGGGAAGCCATTGACATAAAATCATCCCTTCAGATGAACGAATGAATAATGATTTTTTTCTCGTCGAGTTTTTGTTTCTTTTCTGTAGTGCTTCATCCTAGATTCTGCATGACAACGATAATAATTTCAAGTGGATTTTCAGGACTTTTCTGCGCTTCATTTCGGTAGAAAGGGAAATTAGGGACTAGGCTAGCGCCATCTGAAAAACTTGTCTGTTGTAATTTTTTTTTTCTGTGACAGATGTTTCTTGTGCAATACTCTAACACACACTGAAAACGACAGAAGCTTATAACTTAATTAAAGAAGAGAAATTTCGACAAGTGTGTAAAATTGTTTCCACTTGCTGTTATCAATTCACTCACAGACTTTCGTTAGTTTCTTTGACAAACGGCCGTTGGAAACAAACAGATAAAGTGCAATATGTAAATTTCGTTCGTCTTTATTATTTGCATTATTTTACTTCCTGACAGATCATTTTCTAAATTTCGAAAGCCTCGAAAAGTGTCTGGGCTTTTGTTCATCAACAATATAATTTACAGAGACAGACTTTTTCTGACTTATCTTTAGGTATTGTTCTTCTTCTTTGTTTGTACCATTTTAACAATGTATTTCGCTGCATCGAAAAAAAATATCAGTTAGCTTGTTTCTTTGGTTTTGTTTTTCATTGGTTTTTTCTTTCTTTCGCTTGATTGTTGTTGTATATATTTTGCTTCTAATTACTTTTATTGTTCAGCTTTAAACAGTTCGTCATTCGCTGTGTATAGCGAAACACGACCATGTACTTTTTAAATTACCTTTAGTTTTCTTATGATTGCATTTCCAACTCATTCCGCTCATTTAAAATTTGTACCGATTTTACTGTGTTTATTGAAAATTGGTCTGTGGTTTGTAGTTTTGTAAGAAAAGACGAATACTGATAATTGGTTCATATTAAAGACCACATGAAAATATTGCGATTCTGACGCTGTAGCAAACAAGCTACAAAATGTTTTTCAGTGGGGAACAACAATTCTCGCGATAAGCAGTCGATTAAGTTGAACTAGAAATCGAGACGTCTAGACACAATATTCATTTTTCATGCGAACGGTTTGATGATTAACGCTAGAGAAAGTTTGGAAGGCTTATAGGAAACTTGAAATAAAGGAAACAAAAAGTTCTAACTCATTTATTAAAGAGGCAATATTTATATTCTACCTAAGTGCAGCAGACCTTATTTGCAACCAGACCGATATTATCACATTTTTTTTTTTTTTTTCAACCAATACGTCAGTGATAAACGACAGAGCTGGGGGTGAAATTGATATTTCTTTGCACATACTATTTAGTTTTGGTGCAAAAAGTTCATTGCTAATGTATCTTGAGAGGCTCGAGGAAGGATGCTCAATTATTTGGAACAATACAAAGTCATGTTTTGTGGCGCCCGGCTGTCTGTCTTCCGCAATTATTATTGGTGCGGTCACGATAAAAAGGGAGGAAATTATTTCTTTTCATCCTATTTATTGGAGTAAGCAGTTGTTTAAGAATAGGAATCGGAAACAATTAATTTTTCTCACAAGCAATTTTCTGATTCCGTGTAATCCTTACATTTAACATTTCAACCCTCTCTTCTTTATTGGAAAGACCATGAACATTTCCTCGCTCGCTCTTGAGTATCGAAGCTTATCACAAGTTATATTGGAGTCATCTCTTTGTATTTTGCTAACTGTAGTGAGTTTTGTTGGCAACACTATGGTCATAATTGCAGTCTATAGAAACAGACGGCTTCGAACAACAACAAACCTCTATATCATTGCCTTGGCAGTCAGTGATTTATCTTGCGCCGCTGTAGAAATGCCGCTCACTTCAGTAACACTCGTTGTTGGTGAATGGATCTTTGGTTACGTGCTTTGTCAAATTGAGGCTTTTGTGGATATTTTTGTCACTTATGTTTCGCCGGCAACCATTAGTCTTACAGCTCTCAACCGCTACGTTAGGATTGTGAAGACAAACCAATATAACCGGCTCTTTTCCCCTAGACGTTCTAAACTTTATTTGTCTTTGGTATGGCTACTGCTGTTTTCCTACATCGTCCTGGCGAGACTGACAGGCTGGCAAAAATTTGTCTTTACTCCCGGATATGCAACGTGCATAATAGGACACCTATCTGAAATCAGAAAACTTCTTCACTACATTGCATTGGGAGTCTTCTACTTCTTTGTTCCACTTGTTATATCATCTTATAGTTATTTTAAGTTATTTCAAGAAGTCCATGAACACCACTTGATGATCACCCCTTATCTTCAGAATTCAATAAGTCGAGCGAGGATTACACTTAATGAAATCAAGATGAGCAAAACTCTGTTTTTTGTCGTTGCAAGTATCTTTATATGCTGGGTACCATTTTGGGCGATTCTCGTCACGGAGCGTTTTTCTCTTGTAGTCATTTCTAGAGAAGTTCAATTACTCGCTGTCCTCCTCTTGTTTCTAAGCTCTACTGTAAATCCTTTTATATACACTTGTACAAACCGCGCTTTCAAAAAAGAATTCTTGAAGATTATGTTTGCATGGAAGATAAATCTAAAACAGCCAGATCAGCGTGGTGGGTAAAGAACACTCGCGTGGAAGTGAAAGAAATAAATGGTGCAGTCTAGCGCCTTACGTTTCCTCGTTCTACACTTTTTGGAAACTTTCAAACTTTAAATTATTAAAGGGAGATAAACTTGTAGAAAAGAGAGGTTAGAAGACTGGTTGGAATCCCCCCAAAAAATATCTCTTGCTGACACATTTTTTTCTTGGAAAAATATGATCGGGGGAAAGCTAGTTAATGCGAATGTCTTCGCCTGTGAACACTTTGAAACTGCGGCTCACTGTACTGGGCAAATTCATCCAGATGGCAAATGACATCGTCATTATTTGCATCCCAGCAAACAGAGTTCACCCAAAGCAAGACTCCGCCAACATCATTAATTGACTTAGTGATTATTATGTAAAGGAAAATAAGGCACAAAATATCAGTTGCATGAGTAATAGCAGGTTTTTCTCAAATATTTTCTTATTGGATACAACAAATAACATTAAAAAGAAAATATTGATGACAAGCAATAAAATTCTTCATTATAGTATGTTATGCGGCTTATAGTTATTGTTAAATTACACAGATTTTTTTCCACAGATTCATATCGAATTTACTTTTAACTAACTAACCCCATTTTGTTAAACAGTTGTGGTTTGCTTTAACGTCTGGAATGCCAAAACTATCTGCAAATATCAGTGGAAGATACCACTGGTATGGCCTAAGCGATGAGAAAGGTTTTACACTGTTGAGGTAGTTATATTTGACCAACAAAAGCAATAAATAAGTGTTGGGAATTTGGGATAATGATGTGGAAATGCGATCGTGTCGAGCCATACCCTTTGGAGAAAGCGCAGTGTGCAAAGAAAGTATGTAGAATTTGTAAACCCGCCCACTAATAATGGATAGGATTTACAGATGTCCATCATTTCATTCCCATGAAACACGTCATCGTAGTTATCTTATAACATCTTCAAGTTATGCACTCAAAATTTAGAGAAATATTAAATAATAAATCGCCTTTTATTTTATAGACATCATTCCTGGTCACTTTTCGCTCGGTAGTGGAGGCGACCAAGGTTCGATTGAAGGTTCCATCTTCTACAATCGAGTTCTTTTTAATTTTCGGCGTGGTGGCTTCTGAAGTTTACTCCCATCTGAGGCTCAGTCCGAGATTATCATGATAACTTGAGCGAAGGAAGAGTCTCACTGCCATAAGTTCTATATATTACCTGTCAAGTGTTTGAGGAGTGTAGAAATAACAAAAATGGGCTTGATGTAACACCAAACATCTGGCCTGTAAACCTGGTACACCACAACCTTAGATTTAGCTGAGTTAACATCAATCTCTTCACAAAAATCGCAGAAAATCTCAGACCTTTGCGATGTCTCCAAATACTACAACAGGATGGACTCGAAATCTGATCAGTGTGTCCTTGAAGACGGGGTAAGCCAATTCATAAACAACGCAAAGTTTCTTTTCAGTCCGTACTTCATAACGAAGAGGAAGGTAATAATTATTTCTCTGTTCAGCTTTTTCTAAAAGGTCAACTTTCTCAATAATTCGATTCTTTTACCAAGCTGATACTTAAT